TTATATATATATTACACATAAGTTTGGGTGTGGGTTTATTGAATTCGAGCTTTCCAGGGCACTTACTAAGACTATCTTCAAAATATTCGCTGCCAGACTTTGAATATTTCAGGCTTTAGTGGTACGCCTTCCTCTATGTTACACGTAGCTGGTGACTACCCACTGCAAGCAGGATATCATATTATGTGGTGTTGATCGATTGAGCGCGTCGTAAATCAAATTGTCGAATGTCCAGCTTGGCGGTTATTTTGAAACGAGCCGCTATAATTGGAATATCTCACTTTTCGAGGCCGCTATTTACTTATATATCATACTTCAATCTATGGGGGCTTATTTAACTATCATTTTTCTAATTGTGAACTTGTTAGCATATAATTATCGACACAACTAGCACTGAGCTCATATTATTTTGGTTGTATTGATTGAATACTTACTGCAAAGTCATGATGTAACGTGGCATACTAAAAGTCATTTATTTTGGACTCCCTGCTTGCATCAGCGCTTATAGCTATATCCGAAGTCTGAAGGATTTGAAAGTTCTGAACTTGACCAAGAGTAAGAAAGCTAAGGGCACTTCAACAGTGACCGGGTCGGATCTTGGCGATGTTTACGGTTCAGACTTCAAGTGTCCCGTTACAGATGCACTCATGAATGGAAAGTCACGGTATGGTTCGTGTTGTGTATTAGTAGGCTTTGGTAGGGAATATGTGGCGACAGTCTAGTTTGTCTATCTAATTTGATAGTCTTGAAATGTGTCGATCGGAGTATCGACGTTTGTTCGTTCTAGTCATGATCGACCCCACGTGAATAGTCTCTGTCAACATGTCTGCTCACTACACTTTGTTTTTGATGTCACTACTCATGCTCACAAGAATTTATTGGCATGTGACGCTGGAGTTTTCAGGTTTGTCTACATTAAGGCCTGTGGCTGTGTCTTATCGTTGCGGAGTTTGAAGGAGATCCCCACAACCAAATGCCACCTGTGCCAGCAAGACTTTGAGTCCAAAGACGTTATAGAAATCAATCCGCCAGCAGATGTCCGAGAGGAGCAGTTGGTGCGGTTAGCGGTACGTGCTGTGACTTATAACTCTAATGATGGATTGTCCTGAATGTGAATAAATCAGTACACATTCCCAAATTGGTGCGATTATCAAGTAGAATAGTTTGTACATTATGGTCCTTCATATATCCTTGGTTTGTGTACATTCCACCTTATGGGTAGCAAGATAATAGTCATATTGGGTTTTCGATGTATGTTGGGGCGTGATAGTTTGTACATTATGGTCCTTCATATATCCTTGGTTTGCGTACATTCCACCTTATGGATAGCAAGAAAATAGCATATTGGGTTTTTGATGTATGTTGGGGCATGCGAATACCAACTGAACATTTTGTATACTGTATCCGCTATTGGCTTGCTATTAATGAGGGGCAGCTCTATTTGTTGGTCCGTATGAAATGTATAAATATTTATGGTAGCAACGTTTTACATTTGTCCTGAAGAAACGCACATGTTTATTTCACAGGAAGCACGACGGATTGAAATGGAGAAGAAAGACAAGAGAAAAAAACGGAAAGGTAAACGTTATCTTTCCATGTTACTGTTCCATTGTCATATTTTAGTTAAACGCTGCTTGCGTAGAGGATGGGTAGATGAGTGTGTATCGCTTCGTCAAAACAATGATTTCGATCAACATGTATGCTGTATATTTTGACGGGTGACGGGTGTATCTGAAATCTTCTTTTTCGCTATAATATTGCAGGCGATGGTGACAATAATAAAGCTACTAAGAAGGCGAAACAAAGCGCAAAGTCGGCCAAAGAAAAGATCGAAGACGACAGTGAATTGCTGGCGAACAGTGAGACGTATAAGAGTTTGTTTCTGGATCCTGAAAAACAGAAAGAGCAGGAGAAGAACGGGACTTTCACATGTAGAGCCGTTCATAGAGGTCATCTGGGCTTTTGAATATAGAACCATTGTCAACAAAAATTAAAGTCAAGAGTACACATGACATATGTCACTAATCACTTGTACAACTACTTTATTGCAACCCTTTCACTCAAGGGAAGAGCAATTCAACGAGAGATGCACATTGCAACGTCCAGGAGACCTTTATAGGGCAAAATGAACGTAGAAGCTGTCGTCGTTTTTTAACAATTCGTTATTTTTGAAGATGAGAAGTAAATATGTACAGTACATCTTTTTTCTATTTATTCCAAAACCCAAGTTGCCGGTTTTCAACAACTCGGCTTTAGAATATACATTTAAACATTCGTATTATGTATATCTGATTGGAAATTGTGCATCAATAAAATAGTACAAAATACCAAATTGACCACCTAGAAGGAAGGTTGCGAGTAGCAACTACTGGTCACAGGTCACTCACTGACTCACACTGTCAGTCAGTGACTGAGCTGCTTTGGTGACATGTCACGTGGCGTGTGTCGAAATCGGTTTAGAATCCATAGTTGTTCCTCACTTCCCACCAGGGAATCCAGATAGAATCAGAAAGGGGCAAGGGCAGTTTCTCTTCAGGGCTGAGGGCTGAGGGCTGAGGGCCGCCTGGCCTCAGGGCTCAGGCCCCCTTTGGGCCTAACGACAAAAAGGTTTACGTTAAACCGTTTATAATTTAAAAAATAACGGTTAACGTTAAACTTTTATATCGTATACACCTCAAACGATATTGTTTAGGTACAGCTTTCCAGGTCATATATTATGTCCTAAAATTGAACAAATATATGCAAAAGTGTCTGTTTTTGTTGAATATAGGTGCAGCAATGAAGTGCAAGATCCACGATTTTCGACCATATACTATTGAGTTTATAAAAGTTAAACCGTTTATAAATTGAAAAAATAACGGTTAACTTTTAACTTATATCTACACTCCGTATAACATTGACGTTAGCTCTGGGCTTCAGTGTTCAGGACCCGGGCCGCAGCCTTAATATCAGGATCAGTAGTTCAGGTCCAGGAGTTCAGGACTTCAGGCTCAGAGGCTCAGGGCTCGCTGGGAGTGAGCCGGGGAGGTTCGGTAATTCTGTTTACATACAGACTTTACAGAGTAAACACAGTACGCGTGTGACACTGTGACTTCATACTGAAATTCAAGTCCTCTCTACTCTCTACTGTATATACTACTCCCCGGAGTAGAAAGTAGTCCCGTAGAGAGCCCGTCTTATTGAAAGAAATATAAAAATAAATAGAAAACGTAAAAGTACATAATTACACAAGGTCTTTTCATTTCTTTAAAATAGAACAAAAATATAATTACAGACGACACACTTTATAGTAATTTTGTCCCAAAAAAAAGAGCATGAAAGTGTACCATACATAGTACGTAAATATTGAAAAATATGTAAATACGAAATGTATATATAGAGTATTTGTTTTTATAAAAAACAAAAGAAGCTCCAATAAGTTTATATGAGATATATTGTAGAGAAAGTGAGCCATGAGACAGGCTGAAATCTGTCATCATTAGAGCCTGAAAAATTCTCGATAGAGTGTGTGTACTGTGTCAGTGTAGTGTACTGAGTACTGACCGTCTGACTACTGTGTAGTGTGTACTTTATATATACAGTATACAGTATACGCAGACTGTTTTGCTTTAAAAAAAGAATCGAGACACTAGTCCGCGACTCGAGAACTCGAGACTCAAGAGTTAAAGAGTAAGGACTTGAAAAATAAGCCCATGATAGTGACAACTGATATGTCTAAAAAAAAGTACTGTCAGATTGGGAATCAAATAGCTAGGATTCAAAACCAATCAAGTTGACATAGGTTCGTAAGTATCCAATCAAAGCGAGTATGTCGCATGAGTCGGCAGACCGATAACATCAGTATACCACCAATTCACCATCAGATATTTGTTACCGTCTATGTAACTAATTTTATTGGCTAATTTACGTGAAAAAGCCAATACCTACTTTCTTTTCACTAGATAGTTAAATACACATAAATTCCACCTCCACCAGAGTGAATTTGCCAAAAAGCTAAAAAATATCGGTTCAACACAAATCCGCGGGCCCGCGGTGGAGAAGCGTACCTATCCACAAAGTCGGCAGTGGGAAAGCTCTTTGGCGGCCGTATGGTTATAAATACCGACGCCGATCTCGATATGTGTCCATTTCACCACCAAGACTCCTTTAAAAGTCAAAAGACTCCTTATATATATTTGAAACCATGATCCAAGAACTGCTCACCACGAAGATGTCAGACCAGACAAAGGCCACTCTATTTGGAGACATGATGACCACTGGCAGTTTACGATGCGACCCTTGGCGCGAGTGTGAAGAAGCAGATGTCAGTTATTACGTAACGCCCACTCGTGGAACGAGTCGAAAGCAGGAGAAATGGAGCATATACAAGCACATGAGCAATGCACCTGGGGTGTGTTTCAATAATATCGACACGTTTGCACTTCATGGCAACCCAGTGTTCCCAGTCGTATATGAACAACCGCCGACTTGTGTGCGACACAGCTAGACTGCTTAATATGAATGACAAGCAACTCAATCAATCGTATCAAACGATTGCATGATTTTCGACTTGCAAATCGACTTGGCCTATGGCCATGAACTGTAAGTGGATTTTTTTTGCCATCTAATACATTGTAAAAACAAGGAAACTACAACCATCTGGTATGAACTCGCAGCACCATAATAACCGCCGTGCGGTATAAATAATTAATAAATATGATCTTAGTATATAATTCAAAATTCTTTTCTGTTGGACACTCCAATTGATGTGGGCATTGTCGTCAATTATGGGGACCTTTTATGCACACGATATGGCATGGAATCGACTTTGATCTCAGTATGGACCATGGGAGATCGTACTATACGACTTTTCTTAAAACACATTTCGCTCATATTGTGCTAAGTCCAAGGTTGTAATTATCAAGGATTCGGAAACACGCATGATAACACCGCAATTTGAAATCTGTATCGTTTATTATCTAAGAACAGCATCTCAGGACGTACGCTTTTTTGATTTCGATGGTAATACGTGTACGATAGTTGGGATTGCATTCGTACTGTTCACCTCGTGATGCGTGTAGCTGGGTTGTATTAGTGTTTGTCGTAGTTATATTCTCGAGCCTTTTTATCTTGAAGGTTTGTTCTATTCTTTAAAAAAAATCGAGGCGATGTAAGTATGAGTTTTGTGAATGTACAGATCTGAATACTCAGGTCCCAGACTCGAGGCTATGTTGAGCTGTTGGGTAAAAAACCCTATACTTTCAAAACCCAGTGAAAGATAAGATAGCGTTGTGTTCTTTACAACTTCAGCGTACTTTAGATCAGTTCCGACTTCAGAATTCATATCAGCATTGTGATCTAACTTCAGTTCAGCGTTGTGTCCCGACTTCAGATTACAATGACGACGTATGGGGTGCTTGTCGATTGCTGAGTATTCACAGTACATACAATATAATACGCGTATTGTATATATCAAATAACATGAATATAGTAGAAGTAGAGATCATATAATATACAACATAAAAATGTAATTATAATAAAATGTATACATATATAATATAATATAAACACACACACACACACA